TTTTGTCTAATATAAATTTAAAATAATAATAATAATAATAGTAATTGATTTGAAATTATTTTAAGTAATTAAAATATTATAATTGACTAATTTTTCAAAATGCCTTTTTAAGCTATTTTATATTTTTATTTAGTTTTTGTAAAACATGATTAATTTATCAGCTACTTTATCAATAATCAGTTAACTTATCAATCAGTTTGCCAAAACCTTTAAATGCATTAAAGTAATACAAAATATAACCTTACTATTTTACCCTCAATAATTAATTATACTAGAAGCTATAAACTGTAACATTAGATGGATTCCTATTGGTCCAAAATGTTTATATAATCGATTAACAAAAATAAAAACTCTATATAAATGAATCAAGAATTAAAATATGATTTGTTATACAGGAAATCGTGTGGTGGGCCAGAGATGGAGCAGATATGTGGACGGCCATTGGGCTTAAAATTTGACAAAGAAACGGATAATTTGTATATTGCTGATGCATATTTTGGGCTTCTTGTAGTGGGCTCAAATGGTGGGCTTGCAACTTCCATGGTATCAAAAGCCCAAGGCCTTCCTTTACTATTCACCAACTCTCTAGACCTTGACCCGATTGATCGACTCATCTACTTCACCGATAGCAGTCAACGCTACACCCGTAGGTACGTGCTTTATTCGTTTTAACTTTTTTTTTTGTCTAATTGTTATAATTTGAAGTCGTAATATGGCCGGGTTTTTCAGTGTTCGGTAAATATATCATATTTTGATAAGTAACAAAAAAATTGTTGTAACAAAACTGATATTCTAAAGGTTAATACGGAATTCTTTTTTTTAACTAATGTTAAGTTTAATTGTTTTCTTACAGTTAATTATCTGATTTTGATTTTTAAAGGGCATAATAACCATTTATGGTGATGAAGTTATAAAATATTTCAATATTATAATTATTGTTGAGATTGTTAAAATAAAAAAGTTGTTGAAGTTAAATGTAAATTTTTTTAGGGATTTTGCTTTTTAATATTCTATTTTATAAAAATTATAGCATACTTGTTAGTTACTTAATATAAGATTATAACCTTGATAAAACTAATCATATTTTACTTTTGAAAAACATTCATAAGTCAGGGTGATCACTAGAAAAAACATCTTTTTTTTTGGTAATTTATTATATTAATTGTTATTAATAAAAAATATATGAATTAATAGGATATAACATGACTCAATTGTTGCTGACATCAATAGATTGGTTGTGGAGTGGTTCTTTTGGTTTTTTGGTTAAGTTTTTATTTTCTTTTGTTGTTTTGTTGTTTCCAATGCTCTTGTAGTGGGTTGTGACCTCATTGGGATGGTCATTTGTGTCTTTTCCTGGCTTTTTGCATCTTCCTATGTATTTGTTTGTTGGTTTGTCTTATATCCACTTTGTGGTTTCTCAAATATATATATATATATACATATATGTACACACGGGCCTATTCAATGAAGAACTGACTAGTTTGTAGTAATCGTGAGATCAATTGCAACCACAAATCAATAAATAAATTAAGAAACTTATAATTTTGGTAATTTTGAATTAAAGTTTTAATTCAAGGACATTTTAGGTATTTTCTCTCATCTTTTCTCTCTCCGTCCCCCCGTCCTCCATCCACCGTCCTCTGGTGATACCAATGTGATACCTAAAAATATTGACTTTGTTAAACAAAAAGACACAATGTGATACCCAAGCACATTTAAGATGTATTGTGATACCACTATGTTACATCTCCGATGGACCACACAAACGACCTCAATGTGATACCTAAGCACATATAAGACGCATTGCGATACCACTGTGGTATCACCGGAGGACGGTGGCCGGAGGACAGAGGCTGGGGGATGGAGAGAAAAAAATACCTAAAATGTCTTTGTATTAAAATTTTACTTCAAAATTACCAAAATTATAAATTTCCTAATTTATCTATTGATTTGTGGTTAAGATTGGACCTCACAGTTACTACAAACTAATTAGTTCTCATTTGATTAGGCCCCTATATAT